GGCAATCAATGATCATTTCTTTTTCTCTCATGTCACTATTTTCTCACTTTCATAACTTCAGCCCAGTCCTCTGACCAGAACTCTAGTCAAATTTTGAGATTCTGCTCAGGAGATTCATCTTTAGATACTATGCACCAGGTATATTAGTTTTAGTTACCATTGGTATTATCTAAAATACATTGGCAGAGCTAACGGCAGCACAGTAAATCTCAGCTATTTTGGCTACACTCTTTTATGAGGTCCTTTGCAATCAAGGGACACATTTTCTCTTTGGGCATGTTTCCAACTCCCCTTTTTTGTTATACTTTTGAAAAATCATATACATGAAGATCTCCACTTAAAAACACTGCTTTTCCCCAGGTAATTCACTCCCCATTTCCATTTTCATATCCATTTCTCAGTTCTGATTTTTCTTCCCTTGAGAAGAGTCACATTTTATGCACAGATCCCCTTAAGAAACCTATTAGATTTGGGGGATATTAATATATCAACTAGTTTGTGAAATGCCATTTTGCATGTTTCTAAGTTCAAGTGAAGAGGAAATTAACATTTAAAATGTGTGATCTGATCTTTGGGTCCCAGTGGTTTATTACATTCATTTTTTAGAACTTCAAACCCCCTCGTGTGATTTAATGAACAGGGAATTGGATTAAGACTCGAGAAAACCCAGGTACTTTTCTTTTGAACTCAGACTCATTAAATATAACAAAAGCTATTCCAAAATGGTTTGGGCTGCAATGTAGAGAATTTATACAGGGAGAGAGGTGTTCAGCAGTAGCTGTGTAGAGGGGATTCCTCCATCAAGTGGGGGCTTGACCTTCAAAGTCTCTTCCAATTCCTGGCACCTGTGACTCATTTTCTGGGCCAATCCAAGCAATTAACCTCCCTGTGCCTTGCTTTCCTCTCTGTAAAATAGCACTGACACATATCCATTTCAGAGGTATATTCTAGGTTTATTGAACCTTTAATAAATCATGTAACATACTTCATAAAAAGGGGCTGTGTAAATAGCAAGGTTTATTATCACTGAAGGAGAAGCCAGAGGAAGTTTTAAACAGCCACTGGAAACAGCAGGATCCTTTTGTCTTCCATATGCTCCACCTGTTGCCTGAGTCACTCTGTATGCATGCAGTCAGCACTTTTCTGTGTCATATCTAAGCTCACAGAGAAGACGAGTCAAAGCGGGTGTACAGAACTGGTCATTTGGACATTTCCAAGAATTACCTTTTTATGCAGAGCCTTTTGCAGACTTACGCAAAATAAACAGGTTCTCCTCCAAATCATTTTCAAATCTAAGGTGCATTTCTAATTGCATTCCTAGGGGTGTGGGTGGGGAGGAGTCTATTATGAGACTATTTTATATCTGCATGGTTTATCTCTCTATTTAGAAAGATTTGAACTCTAAGATAATTTAGGTGTACAGGAAGCTTGTCTACCATCATCTGGATTCAGCAATTGTTACTATTTGACCACATTTGTTTTAATGCCCCGTCACTTGGTAAATGATTGGTAAAATGTGGTAAAAACAGGTATAACAGCAATAACAATAATAGTAAGCATTGTTCGTCCATCTGAAAGGAAGTTGTAGACATTATGGCTGTTTTAACACACAAATACGTTAGTGCGTGTTTCCTAAGAATAAAAACCTTCCCTGATATTGCCATAATATAATTATCAAATGAGGGAAATTTAAAGATGATACTAGAGTGCTATCTAAATATATATGGAATTTTATGCTGTATTTTTTCTGCTTCTCCCTGGAGGCTAATTACACTTAAGGATCATCTCTTTCTAGTCTCTTTTGGTCCTGCACATTTCAGTCTCCCTTTGTCATTCACAACATTGACATTTTTGAAAAGTTGAGATCAGTTTTATTATATAATGTAACTCACTTGAATTTGTCTGGGTTTCTGTTTATCTGCATTTCATTTTTAAAGCCCGTGCTTTCTGGTGAGCTAGAGAAACATAACCTTACCAGCTTGGCATGCACTGTTAACATTTTCTGCAATTGGAGTCCCAGCAGGGCTGGGTCAGGTCACTTCTGCGGGGCTAGCAGAGAACACAGGACAAAAAGTAGCAAGAGGAGGTGCTGCACCTCCATTAATTTACCTTTCCCTGAAGTAATTATTTGTTTAACAAATAATGTTTTTAACTATTCATTACAATGAAATGTAAATGATTGATGGATTGCTGGAAAATGAAAATACACAAGGGAAAGCTTTCTCTAAATTTTGTCTCCCGTGAACTAAAAGAGCTTTTTTGAATTGTAAATTCTACATCATTTGTTAATGAAGCCAGAATAACTTTTCTAAAGCAAACAATTGCTTCAGGAAAAGAACTGTGAGATCACTGATCCTTGCTCTTTGTTCTCCTCACAACTTGGGTCTGTAATCTTTCAATCTGTGAGCCTCCCTTTTCCTAAGCCACTTTCCCTGTATTCTGGCAAATAAGAAGAGTAGTGGGTTAGCGGCACATTTTTTTCCTGAAATTAAATTTCTTCCAATTAGAAATTGGTCTTTTGTACTTAATTATTCTTGTTTTTCCTCTTAGTATTAAAATATGTTCTCCTTTATGAAACAGTTGTGAGAGTGTATGGTTAATTGGGAAGGGGGAAAGCACGCATGTGAATGACCTCATGTGTTTAATAAAGGTTCTATACTTTCTGTTGGTCCAACATTTCTTTCTTTGTTTACTTATGCAGTAACTTATTTGTAGCAAGAGTCAGTCGTTCACTTATTTAATCTGAAATCCAAAAGCTAGGCACTGCTGTTGATTTAATGGAAAGAGCTCTACTTTGGTAACAGGAGGTAGACTTGACTTTAAGCCCTGAATCTGCAGTTAACTACATGACCTTGAGCAAGCTACTCCACCCTCCAGCGGCCTCAGCTTATACTCTATTAAATAAAGTGGTAATTGATGCCCCATCCACCTTATGAGAATTATGATATGAGAACCTCCCATAGGCTACAAGGATAATACAAGCAGGCATGTGTTTAATTTACAAGGCTTAGTGCAGAGCTTGGATGTAATGAACACTCAAGAAATATTTTTCCTAAAAATGAATGAATGAAAGGAGAAAATGCACATAAACTTTAAATGCCAGGAGAGTATATGAAAGTCATCAGGACAGGAAGACCCACTTCAAGACTGACATTCCATTCAGCAAAGAACAAAAGAGCAGTTCATTTCAACATATGAAATGCACTTTTAAAATGTTTTTCCCATTTTATTTAAAGGCCACACTGAGCTCTCCTTTGTGGTCATGCTCACTTTTAAAAAAAGATGTATGTGATTGCCTGGTAGAAAGTAGAAAAGCCTGGGAAAAGAGGAAAGAAAAATTCTCTATTTTCTCCATCTCAACAAAGTGTCCTAAACTGTATCTATTCCTCCAGAAGAAGTAGCTTATATTCATAAGGCAGAATAGTGAAATGGAAAGATTGAGCGTTATAGTTACAAATTATACCTTTAATCTATAGCTTCTCCTAACTGTCTTTGTAACCTTAAGTTACTTAACTACTCTGGGCTTTCATTTCTGCACTTGAAATAATAGAGATAATACCACTTGCTTCATAAAATTATTAAGAGAATAAACAAATATAACAAGTAACAAATGTACAGATCTGTGTGCTTCTTTTTGCTTTGCTTTGTTTTGCTTTAGTGCTCACCAGTGGTCAGGATAAGGGAATCTGGAAGTAAGAGTACAAGTGCCTTATTTTTCATACCTGAAAGTCTTCAACCACATGAGTAATTTGAAAAGAAGCAAGTATCCAGGAAGGCTATGATTCTAACGGTTTCAATTTGTCTACAAAAATAAAAAGCACGATGGATACCAAAACATGATACGGTTCTACAACCATCTCCCCCACTTCTCTTGACCCTGTCCATTTGACTCTGAAAAGCAATATCATAAATTTACTGTACAGTACCCCAGACTCATACCTACCCATGGCATTAGAGAAACCCTTCTAATTTAAACTTCAATAAATGTGAGTTCTGGGAGAAAATAGCTACATAAAGCAAAAGAAGGGAGAAAAAAGGCGTCAAGTGTAGAAGCAGCTGTAGTCAGTGTGGCTTCTTGCACCTGCAAGCACAATGTCCATCCCAACACTCCCAGTGCATGCTCTTCCTTATTGATTTCTTGAAGCTGAAAAATCCTGAAGGCACCAAACTGTTACTTTAAAAAGTCAGTTTTCCAATGTGATGAGAGCCCTTGAGTGAAACATAGCACCATACAGTGCAGCAGACACCAGGTAACATGAGGGGAGATCAGATGGAGGCTTTGTATGGCTGTTTGACTGTCCTCCTCATGTTTTGCTATCCTAGGACGGTGCACCTCAGTGGTGCATAGCTGTGGTGAAGCAAGCATTCCCTGCTAAGTTAGCTGTACACTTTGCAAGTACCAATGGTCAATTGTTTGAAAGGTTTTTTTGCTTTTATTTTCACACTCTAAAAATTCATAGTATTTTTAATCGAATAAGGATTTTACAACTGAACTTTTAAACGTATTAGCAAGGAGTATGAGTCACTTAGAAATAGTTTAAATGCTCAGCACTGAAAAGTTATAATAAAGCTCCCAACCAATTAGCCGCTAAACAGACTGTTATGTATAAATACTTAATGACAATCTTACAAAAGCAAACAATCCCAAGTAATTCTCTAATCCTTTTGGCTTTTTAAGAGATCCCCTTTAGAAATCTCCAGCAAATATCTGTTTGCCAAACTTTTGCAGTTGTAAACTTGAAAGCTGGAGAGGACAATTGCATTTTAAATAAATTCAAAATGCATTTGGGGAAAATTGTGCTTCCAAGCCACACACACCTGTGAAGAGAAAATATCAGTATAATCTATTGCAGAAAGAGGAATGACAAATGGGAAGTCAATAGTGTAACCTTTAGGTAGGTGGCTGCTTGATACATTTTGAGAGTGATGTGTGTTTGACTGTAAATGGTGATAAACAATACAGACCAGCCTCAGTTGCATGATTGGATGTCATTTTCTAGGTCTAATTCGTCTGCAAGAACTCATCAAAGCTCCCTCCAGATACAATATTAAAATCAAAATCCGTCAGCTGCCCTCTGGGAATAAAGATGCCAAGCCTTTACTCAAGGAGATGAAGAAGGGCAAGGAGTTCTATGTGATATTTGATTGTTCGCATGAAACAGCAGCTGAAATCCTTAAACAGGTAAGAGGGCCAGGGAGGAGGTGGAAGTGTGGGAAAAATGTTATTTTCTCTTTCTCAAAAATGCCATCTGTTTTTTTTTTTTCTTGAATTTAGTGCAGCAGGATAAATCTGTAGCAGTCAAGTTTAAGCTAAAAGTTTTAAATTGCAAAACCCTTTTAATGATCTTTGCAGCTTAGGTTAGGTTAGGTAAGTGTTTAGTTGCAGATATGCCCCAATTTATATATTGTGGGATCTATGGGGCCTACCAGCATCAAGTGTAGAAGCAGCTGAATAGTATTTCAAGGTCATTTAAATATCTTTTTTCTTTATGCCTTTTGAAAAGAAGGAACTAGATATCATTTACATAATGCCTGACTTCATAAATATATCCTGCATGGCAAAAGTTCCTTTGTCAAACAGGCAGGATTCCAAATACAATAAAAGGGGTACAAAAAAGAGTCCTAGGAAAGATGCTTCTCTTTTCCAATGCATTATAGGTCTTGAACTGCTATACCGTAATCTCCACAGATAATGTAGGTGGAAATAGTCAATCATAAAATCCTACCTAGACAAAAGATGTTGGTAATGTTTAGAATAATCAGAACAATAACAGAGCGGTAATTTTTGAGTACTTGGTCTTCTTTTCAAGAAATAAAATGCAGAATTAGAAAAGATGGAGTATAGGGTGATTTTACCCCTAGGATTTTTTGGTAACAACTGTAGAGATTTCTGCTTGCTATATTTGGGATGGCAGCACTCTACTGACCAGTGAGTGCATAGTAGCCAGGGAGCCTGCTAAACAACCAACAATGCATGTCTTGGAAGTCCAGTCAGAAGTTTAAAATAGAAGCAGTAATAAGACAACAAGCGATTTAATTTGGAAGACTATCCAGGAAATATTTGTGTGATCTGCTGGGCATCTCTTTATATTTAAGTAGTCATTGTCACATAAACCTGTGTTCTTATCTGAAACAATGACAGCCATTACACTCCTTAGTTTTAGAAGTCTGAGGTTGGTGTTCTGTTGACCGGAAATGGACAGTCATTTTATACTGAGACCAGCACCGCCACACAAATCCAGAACTGTGATTTCCTCGGTCCCTAGAAGTGTCTTCTTTGAATAGTCAGCTGGCCTAATGCTCCAGTCTTCTCTCCATACTTCCAGAGTACCTGTTTGTAGTCATTGAGCCCAGAGTTAAGGTTCTAATTGCACTGGAAGTACACGGTGAAGAAAATTGGTCAGATATCTCTCTTGTCCACTGGATGATAACAGAAAAATTTCCATTTACAATCTGTTAGAGTGTAGGTATAGCTTGAGTGTGTCTGTTAATAGGGGAAGCTTGATCCTTGTAGGGTACTGTTGAGGTAGTGAATAATTTAAGAGGTAGCGAATAATTTAAGAGGTAGCATCAAGTAGAAGATGCTTAGGTTATTGGAAATGCCACCCCCAGGAAGGACTAATGTAGTTCTCATCAGACCTTGGTTGCTCAGTTCCTACAAGAATGAGTTTTTCAAACTTGGCCCCAGAATCTACTTGGCTTCCTCCCTCACAGCGTGATCTCTCCCGCAACATTTGCTAGTATTGTGATGTTACCTGTTGGGACGTCCTCACCGGTAGTCAAACAGGGATTCCCAATCCCTGCAGCCCCCTAAACTGAGTCCTTTTTTTTATAAGTACCTCACCTTGAGTTTCTATTTACAGCCACAGAAAAACAAACACAAAGTCATGGAACATTTAAAGTTGCAGTTGAAACCAGTTACAGACATCACTGTATCCAAACTTCTCACATCACAAGAGGCAGAACGATGTTCTCAGAGTTACACATTCAGTGCTTTTTCTACCCATGAGATGTTGCCCCTCCAGTTATGTTGAAGAGTTTGTGTTATTCACTTCTGGATTATGAATACATTAATAAATCTTTAGATATATAATTACCTCTTAGGAAAGAATGATGTCCACAATTAAAGAATTTTAAAGGTAACTAAATACAACCAGCACAGTGCCTTATCTTAGGTCTTCATCTGAGAATTTTAAGACCGTTCATTAAAGCTTGTAGTCGAGTGTGGATTAGCACTGAGAAAAACAGCCAGATTTTTTGTGTAACCCAGAAAACGCACAGAAGCATCCCTTTATAAGAAGCCTGTTACAGCGGGGGCTGGGGATGTCTGTTATATTCAAGAGAGTAATTTGCTAATGAGACTTCTCTTTGTTAGATACTCATCTGGCTCACATAACTGGCCACGTCTCTCCCAAAGGCAGGCCGAGAGTGAGCAAAAGTACATGGTGGACATGGGGAAAGGCTTCTTCTAGCCTTTCTCCTCTATTGCTATAACTATGAATATAACCTTCCTTGGAGAGAAGTAGCTCTTTCCTAGTACCTAGGGATTACAGCATTCAGAGGACAAAACAAAAATGAAACTTTTAGAGAAACTCCCCCAGGAAACATCTGGTAGGGGTATGGGGAGTGGGATTAGTTCAGCTTTTCATTTGTATTTATACCAACATTTTTCTCTTCATTCTCTGTCATATGTTTTATTCTACACTTACTTTTTCAAAATATTTCAGTGAAAGGTCGTCTGTGAGCCCTGATGAAAGGGACAAGACAGACTGCTTATCCATTGTTTGTTTTAGACTGATGATCTATAGGTAGCTTGGAAGGTAGAGACATTCAAAAGTGTGCATCGGGAAACCCCTACTGTATCAAATGTGAAAGTGTAATTGCTCTTGAAATCACTGCCGAGGACCCAGGTTGTCCTACTGGGGCTTCATTTGGACAGCTAGAAGCTATTGTGCTTAGCAAGTGATACTGTGCACTTCAAGATTTTCTATCCTGGTCAAAAAGAGATCCAAGCATACAGTGAGATTTCACTTATCTTGCTCCATTAGTTCAGGGCAACAACCTGTAGAAAGAGACAGAGAACTTTCTTGCAATTGCCCTAAATAAATGTTTCAGGAAGAGAAAAGATGGGAAGGGAAGGGAAGGGAAGGGAAGGGAAGGGAAGGGAAGGCAAGGCAAGGCAAGGCAAGGCAAGGCAAGGCAAGGCAAGGCAAGGCAAGGCAAGGCAAGGCAAGGCAAGGCAAGGCAAGGCAAGTCGACTTACCTCTGACTAAGGGCCTTAGAGATGCAATCACAGTAACTGGCATAATACACCATCACAACATGCAAAGTCAAATAACCCTTGAGCAAGTTCCACCTGCTTACTTCAGAATGGAAGAAACTGAAGCTCACATACTGTATTAGTCACTTTTCTTTACCTGGGGCAAAATGCCTGATATGCACAATTTAAACAACAAAGCTTCACTTTGACTCACGGTGTTGGAGGTTTCAGTCCATGGTTATCTGGCTTCAAGGCAGAAATGGCATAGTAGGATTGCATGGTTGAGGAAAGCTGCTTAGCTCGTGACAGGCAGCTGGTGAGCAAAGATGTAAAGGAAGAACTAAGACAGATGAAAGGGGCCTGGGGACAAGAGGTTTAACCCCTTTGTGCCCTACCTCTGAACAGTCTATTCAGCTTTGAAGCCATCACTGAACTAATCCAATGGCAAGGTTAGAGCTCTTATGATCTAATTAGCTTCTAAAAGGCCCACTTCTGAACACGTGACCTCTATCTAGTAGGACAGTTTTGATTCAAACCTAACATGTAGGTTAAGTGGCCCATCCAAGGTCTTTCTGCAGAGCGACACTCTGGTCTCACAGTCCAGGGTCCCACTTTATCATGAAGTGCCCTTGATCAGAATGGACACCCTCTCCAAAGAGAGCTACCAGAAAAGTCTGGAAGAAACAGAGCCACTTGCTGCTAGTCTCCTTTAGATGACATTGATACTAATGGCTTTTATATTTTGTGTATAAAAATCACTCCTGAGAGTATTTTTTCTGCCAGGTCAACTGGGCTTTCTCTTCATACGCATTTCCCATCACTGACCTGCACTTTCATCACATTTTCCCACTTTTTAATGATTCTTGAGAAAAACGAAATTAAATGCACTTTAAAGAAGATATTTGACATTTATCTGAAAGTAAAAAATTGGAGAAAACGTCTATAGTTATTCTTGGGCATGCTAATCACTCTGGCAAAGTAATTATTTCCATTCATATTGAACAAGTGCTATATGATGAGAATCTGAAAAGTTATTTCCTAAAAATTAGTTTGAAATTCAAATGTCAAGATTTGATTAGGCTGCAGAGGAGCAGGGCTGTCATATGAACAAACTGTATTCATACATTTCAGTAGTTGGAGAGTTGTCCTGACAACCAACAGGTCCCTTGGTCCCCTCTTTTTTTCTTATCCCACACACAGCAGGTGCCCTGCTGTGACCCCAGTGCTCTGCTGTCCTTCACCTGCCTTTGGTGTGGAACCTCCTCTCTTCCTCATACTCACATCCTCTTGGTCCCATTCTTCTCCCACCAGCCTTGCATTGCGTGCCAGTGAGCCAGGCAGTCTCATTCTCAGGGAACGCTACTCTGCTACGGCAGTGACTGATGGGAGATGAGCTTAAAGCATGCAGTAGAGAGCAATAAGGCTCTACATACAGGACTCACAACTTGCACTTAGCACACTGCTGGGCTGTAGGAAACCATTGCCTTTAACTGAGATGATAACCCTTGATATAGTTGAAAATAGAAGCTCAGCTGTACGATAATGTAATCTACTATGTACTGACCCGGCTCTTAATGCAAAACACCAGGGCTTGCATGACTTGACCCTTTCTCTCTCTCTCTCCCCACCCACCATCTGGGCCATCTCCAACCTCTGCTGCTTCACTTCAGGGGTGTCCTACCCACTCATCTGGCCATGCAGCACAGCTCCCTGTCCTGCAGCACAGCTCCTGCACCTGCAGTTGCCGAAGCCTGGCACGTCATCCTACCCCAAAGTGGCCTCACCTAAATCTTTGTGCTTTTCTCTTGAGGGATGGAAAAAGAACACATTTTTTATTCACCATGTCTCAAACTCTACTTAATTTTCTTGGTAACAATAATTAGGTCTATGATTAAGACATTTATCCCTGTGCTGCCCATATT